ACTTGTAATTTAACTTGTTAAATTAAGGTAATCAAGGTAAGGAAACGAAACAAAACGGGAACCAGTCAAGGAGACCACGTATCAGAGTAAAGCAAGGTACATTCAAGAGAAAGCCTGTATGCAACGTCTTGTCTCTTCAGGTTTCAGGAGCTGGACGTTTGAAAGTTCTGTGAAGTAATATGCTTGAAAAATGGAAAAGGTAAGAAAACATACATGCATAAATAAATAATTAGCGTTTTCGCTCAAAATGACATCAGATGTGCGTACTTCAGATGAGAGATAGAAAAAGAAAGTAACCAATGAACTTCGTACAAAATTAATATCTTCGAGTAATTCACATAATAGTGAGAAGAAAACATATTCATTTTCTCACAAGCACCAATATTCTGTATTTAAACTCAGTAAGACGTTGTTTGATTTTCAGTCAATTTATATCGAAAAACTAGGGTAAATCGGTGATAATATCATTTATTAAAAATGAAAACTTTAATCATTGTTACATTGGTTAGTATACAACTATACTTTTCTATTGGCATCAAAATCATATTTTTGACTTTAATCTTTTTAGTTCTTGGTTACACTCCCTCATTTTCACTATGTGACAAGTAAGCAAGCAAATAGTCATCGACCACCGCAGAAACATTCTCCTCATACCAAACAACCGCAGAACAGAATAAAGACCAATACCGCTAATGGAAATAAACCAAAGATGCCGCCACTCAGTCATTCAAGCGACAGAGGTAAGTAGTAAATAACCACAACATTTTACACTAATTATGCATCCGTCGCGTTATAGTTTCTCACCCTCACCACAATGGAGAAGAAAAGAATGATCACAGTGTCTCACTATCTAACGTCCAAGACGGAAGTGAGTAACAACACCCTAATATAGACAGTGGACAAAAATCACATGCATTCTAGGTGCTTTTCAACATCATGGATCTGGAAATCAAAATGGTCAAGCACAGTCTAAAGGTACTAGACTATCAATAATGACCACACTCCGTATTCGTTTTCGATAGAGATCTGCTATCCGTTAGATACCCAAAAGAGTACGGATACCGATCCTGAACACGGTTCCGAGCTGTTTTTTGTACACTGGAAGTATCATTTGTTCCCATTACCCCGTTTTTCCATTTAGCAGAGCCGTGCTCTGAATGATAATGCTCGACGGGAGAATACCTAGTCTACGAGACTAGTAAATCAACAAAAAGACTATCAGTAAGCGTTAGAGTTGTCAAACACGTTAGTCTATTTCAACTTCAGATATTATGATGATAAGAAACACTATCTTAAGTGTTTTGAGTGACAACAAAAAGCCAGTTCCGAGAAAGCAGACGTCTTCTTGAAGCGTGCTCGGGATAAAAAGATCAAGTTCTTGCGGAAAACACCGGTTTTTTTCTGCATAAAACATGAAGTTCTTGCGGAAAACACCGGCTTTTTCTGCATAAAACATGAAGTTATAGTGGGGAAACATTGGTCCCTCCAACAAAAAACCTGAAGTTCGGGTGGAGAAACATCGGTTTCTTTAGGAAAAAACATGAAGTTCCTATTGGGAAACATGAATTTCTGCAGGAAGAAACATGAAGTTCTTGTGGAGAAACATCGGTTTTTTTAGGAAAAAGAGGAAAGTTTTTGCGGAGAGACATGGATTTCTTCAGGAGAAGCCTTCGGTGGAGAAGTTCGGGTAGAGAAACATCGGTTTTTTCAGGAAAAAAACATGAAGTTCCTGTCAAGACACATGGATTTCTTCAGGAGAACCCTTGAAGTTACTGTGGAGAAACATGGATTTCTTTAGGAAAAAACATGAACTTGTTGCGAAACGTGAATTTCTTCAGCAGAAACATAAAGTTCTTGTAGAGAAATATCGATTGCTTTAGGAAAAAACATGAAGTTCTTGTGGAGAAACATGAACTACTTCAAGACAAAACATGAAATTCTCGAGGATAAACATCGGTTTCTTCAGGAAGAAACATGAAGTTCCTGTGGAGAAGCATGAATTTCTCTACGAAAAAAGCTGAAGTCCTTGTTGGCAAAGGTGAATTTCTTCAGGCGAAAACTTGAAGTTCTTGTGGAGAAGCATGAATTTTGTCAGTAAGAAACATGAACTACTTCCAGACGAAACATGAAGTTGTCGAAGAGAAACATCGGTTTCTTCAGGAAAAAATATGAAGTTCTTGTGCAGAGACATGGACTTTTGGAGGACAACTGATCAAGTTTTCGTGGAGAAACATGATATTCCCTACGAAAAAAGCTGAAGTTCTTGTTGGCAAGGTCTTCAGGCGAAAACTTGAAGTTGTTGTGAAGAAGCATGGATTTTGTCACTAAGAAACATGAAGTTCTTACGGAGAAACATGGATTGCTTCAAGAGAAAAGATGAAGTTCTCGTGGAGAAACATGGACTACTTCAAGAAAGAAGATGAAGTTCTCGTGGAGAAACATGGATTTCTAAAGGCCTGACTGGTATTCAATTATTTTTGAGGCGCGATCGCCACGATTTTTTATGTAATTTTTTTGCGCTTATTTCAAGGAATTTTAACTATTTTTAATGATGAATCAGAGTAACATTGAAGCTAAGTCACTGACTACTGGAACAACCGACGGGTAAAAAAATTGACTAAAAAACGCGTTAAATGTTTCAAAACCAACGCTTTTTTTTGTCGTTTAAACGCGTTTTTTTTAATCTATTGGTACGAAAACGCGTTTTTCGATGAATGTGAACGCCAATGAAAACGTTAGTTAACGCGTTTTGAAATGATTCAAAAAGAAAAACTGAGGGAAGATACAGAGGTTTGAATCGTCAAATTGCCGTTTAAACGCGTTTTTTGTCGTTCAGAACCTCAGAATAACGCGTTTCAACGACCACTTTAACGTCGTTAGAAAACGCGTTCAACAAAAATGCCAGAAAACAGCTAATTCAACGATCGTTAGCAAACGCGTTGTCGAAAAACGCGTTATTCTGAGGTTCTGAACGATAAAAAACGCGTTTAAACGGCCCTTTTAATGATCGTTCGGAAAAAACGCGTTTTTCGTGCTGTTTCCAACGATTTTTTTTCGCCTCGGAAGAAAAAGAGAAAGATGATTCGTGATGCTAATTTCTTTTTCTTTCTCTTGTGGAGCTAAGTTTTTGTGAACAATATAATACGATAAGTTTTCCACCTGTCATCTTCATGTTCTTGTACGATGACGAATACTATGCCAAATGTGGAGCACATGTCCAATTGAACTCAAAAATTTATAGCAGAGATAGAACATCGAAAAAGAAAATCGATGTATTTTTGCCCAGAATTTTCTGACATGTTCTTCTATGGGTTTTCATCCGGTAACATTACGACCCTCGAAAAAATGGTCCGATCGAGCTCAAATCTTTACCACAGATATTTTAGGCCTTATCTCAGGTTGGTTTTCTTTCTTTTTGAAAAATATGGTTTCCTTCTCCAGATATTCGAAAAATACTGAAAATCCTGTATAAAAAACCGGTTTTTTATTTTAAAAACCTTCTCACGCCCAAAGTTGAAATGGAAAACGCTTTAAAAGAAAATTCAACCTGAGATAGGGTCTAAAGTATCTGTGGTAAAAATTTGAGCTTGATCAGACCATTTTTTCGAGGGGTCGTAATGTGACTGGATTGAAGGGACTAGCGCAAAAACGCATAGTGAGAAAAACACATATGTACACAGGTTCTGTTTTTCAAGACATTTGCAGTGATGCTTATATCTCCACGAAAATTTATCGGAAAATTCTGCAAGACGTCTCATTTTGTAGAACACACTTTCTTCTATCAGACTACCTATAAGAAAAACTTTTGATTATATAGGAAAGGAGAGAAAAATTTACAAAACTAAAAAATTGAGATTTTCTAGGCTTTGAAGGAAAAACTTAAAAGGTTCATAAGTTTTTCAAGAAAGGTCGTGGAGAGCTCGGAGTGTTCTCATTCTGTAGCCCAAACTTTTCTCTACATTAGACTATGTTCAGCTCAAAATGGAAGGTTTTTTGCAAAAAAGACAGGGGGAGGTATCCTTAAGGGCGCAGAATCATTATCAAAGTCGCTCAGAGCAAAATTAATATGATTACTATGCTATTTTTCAATTAATCAGTGCAGTCTGTTTTCTATAAAAGTAACTCTTCTACAAAGTGTCAAATTCTATAGATAAAAATAAAATGAAACCAGAACGCTAACCCACGCATTATCTCCAGAATTAAGTGTTGGATCAGCCAATGGATTGACTATTTGTGTCGTGTTGGTAACAGTAGCCATTTCAATAATACTTTTAATTACTTTTTACTTTATCCTGATACTGCATCGGCTCTTTGCTTCGTCTTTCTTCTACAAAATCATATTTTAGTTTATCGGATTCTCAGATACGCCTGAATGAAATTAAAGCCTTCAAAATGAAGAAAAAAACATTTAGTCGTTTCTTCAGTAGTTATCTGTTCTTTCGAACAGATCTGACCAAAACGGAAGAGTAACGATGTAACTCACAAGCACTGTAACTGACATTCTTTCATCATTGAAGCATAATCTAAAGATTGAACTTCTGGGCCTCTAAACCATGTTAATTCGTTAATAGTGCTATATCTGATGTATTTTCAGTTGTGCACTACCAGATATGCATTATAATAGATAATTATTTAAAACGTAATAACAAGCTGAAAAATAACATATCAATGCGTTAAAATGCCTTCACATACAATATTTCAATACATCATAAAAATACATGAATAGAGTCCGTTCCCTGTGTACGCAACGAGCAAGACAAATGTGACTCTTCAGAGGATTCATTCCGCTCTCCATCATATTCATTTGGTAAAAGTCCTTAATTGACTTTTATTAACAGGGTTATGTCCTAAAAGTTAATATCTTATTCATTTGACATATGCATGAATAAAGCTGAAAACCTTGAGAAATGCAAAGAAAATAGCGTTTAGTCATTTCTTAGGTAATTATTTGTTCTTTCAGGCATTATGCAGGGTACCGGAAACAGCAGCAACACTGTTTATCACATAATGCTACATGTACGACTTTGGGGATTTACTGGTGCACTTCCAGGTCTTTGTAAAGTCGGTTGCTCATGAACAACAACGTACGTATTAACATTTGCTATTGGCTGCTCCTGATCGCCATTCGCAACAGTGGTAGATTTTATGTTAGCTGTTGCTGGCCGCTTCATATCGATAAGGTCTTTTGATTTACTAATATTTACTTCAGGTATATGTTCTTGAAGTTTAATTAATAGTCGTTCAAATTTATTACCATTCCATAGAATCCTTTCTTCGTTTGGTTCGTTAGCACTAATGCAAAAATCAATGCTGAGCTTTTCAGTAAAAACTAATGACATAGGGCCTGGTGGTGGCCATGAAACTCTATCAAGTAATAGTGGAATTATTGGCTTTTTCAATGCATCAGCAAGTGACACTTCTCGTCGACAGTTAGCTGATATAACATATTTGGGTGTTATACAAGATATAATGACTTTTGCATTTCGAACACCATTATCGATTTTTTCATAAAGAGAATCGCCTCCGCCCATTTGAAAAATATCCAGCCAACATCGATAACCAAGCAAGGTTAATGTTTTATATAAATCTAATATATCTTTTTGACGGCTCCATCTAAAGAATAATTAAACTGCTTATTTGGTATATTAAGGTTATACGGTTAAGAAGGACATCGACATGCAGGCTATTTGAATAAAAAAGTCTTTAGAATTAGTACACATTTTCTTTATGAATGGGCAAAAATTTTAGTACGCATAATAAAGTAACAGCAGTAGTTTCCATTTTATTGAAATACATATAATTAAATTAAAACGAAATATTTCAACGTTTCGAACTTTA